TCAGCCAGTCCCAGCGGATCAAACCCATTGTCGCCGGGAAGACTAAATCAACCAATCAAAGAATGCATTTTTAAAAATACAATAATTTGAGAAGAAGAAGTCAGGAAACAGTGGAGTAGAACGACGCCGTATAGTAAGTGTACCTACCTGCCATCAAGATAAGCTGGGGAGGTCAACCCGGGGAGCCATTCGCCTTTCGCATCAACCTTGAATGAAGAGAAGCGGCGGGGAGGATTCGATGAAGAAGGTCGCCGGACGGAGACTTCCCCGTTTGTCTGATTACGGCGGGATCCGGTGAGGAATCTGGTTTTCGAGGTGCAAGGGCGGCGGAATAGGGCGGCGGAGGGTTGTGTAACGGTGGCCATTCTTACCGTCGGGAAGGAGGGGAGATGGGCGGCGCTGCGGTGTTACTCTTTCTGGAGACGAATTTGCGGCAAATGGAGCTGGGCATAAAAAAGGTTGAATTGGTTTTGGGGAATTCAGGGCTAAGATTGAATGGGGAAGATTTGGCCAATGGGAATGAAAAGGATCTTATCCTTATCTCGCCCTGGATTTTCGATTTGGGAATTTCTTCCATGCCTTTGCATGAATGCCCCTCAAGTAAATTCTTGTCATGTGGACTTTTTAATCATGTAAATAAATAAAATACTCCACATCATTTTAAATTTTAAAAATTACATAATAACCCCTTTTTTCCTTTTTCTTATCTAAAGGTCTTTTTTTTTGAATGAAAATTTATTTCCAATATTTTTCAATTCTCTCCACTTTTTTCAACCACTTCAAATTTATTTCAATAACAACTTAAAAAATTTATTTAATTTTATTTTTTAATAATAATCGTGTTACATTCATTATAATTATAATTATTACTATTACTACTATTGTCATTATCGTCATCACAATTGTAATTAAAATAAAATAAAGAATTGAAGTAATAACACAGTTTTCATATATAAAATATTTCTTTTTGTCCCAAAAACATATATCGATTATCAGTTATCATTATAGAGTCAACAAAAAATATTAAAATATTAAATGAATTAATTTATTAAAAAGGACATTCCTCTTTGTAATTTTGTAATAATCCATAATTTCGTTTATTTGTTGATTGAGATAATGTCAGATTATTTATGCCAGTTTTTGGTTTAAATAGGATTAATGAAAAATATTAGTACACGGTTATTGGCATTGAAATTAAGGAATAAGAAATAAATGGTTTAAGATATATATGAAATTAAGCAATAAACATGTATACTAATGATATTGATTTAAAGAGTTTAAGAAAAGAGTAATATTAAGTATAAGTAAACATATAATCTGGGGTAATACACATAGTATGAAATAAAAATGGCTTAACATATAAAAAAAATAAAAAAATAATTAAAATAAATAAAGGAAAATTTATTTTAATAAAAATATTAACTTTCAAAAATATATAACTCATTTCAAACTTTTTTATTTTTAAAAATTTTAATTTTTTCCTTGAATTTTCTTCAAGCCGTTTTCAACTCCTTCCAATTTTTTTCAATTTCTTATAATTATATATATATATATATATATATATATATATATATATATATATATATATATGTATGTATGTATGTATGTATATATGTATATATATGTGTATATATATATACATATATACTCCTATATGTATGTATGTATGTATGTATGTAATTTTTAAGTTTTGAAAAAACTATTTTCAAACAGCTAATTTTACCAAACGTTTTTAACGATAATCCAACACCACCAGCCGGTCGAACCATCTAAACTTAACAACTATTCAAAACTGCTGACACAAACAACCAATAACCAACAAACAACATCCAAAGAATGCCAATGTACAGTGTTAGAATGTCACAAAGCAAACTCTTATTTCGAAAATAAAAGCATGGAATTCATATTTTAGGGACAATAGTTATATTTTACATTTATTTGGGGTGATTTATTATTATTAGTATTTTTATTAGTATTAATTTTTTTTGTTAGAAATTTAAGAATTGGATGTTGTACGTAATAAAGTAGAAGAAATTAGAAAATATAGGAAGAAGTCAGAATAAATTGGAAAAAATTTTGGAATGAGGTGAAAACAACTGGAAGAAAATTTTGGAACCGAATTAAAATTTTGAAAAAATTAAAAGAAATTTTGAAATGAGTAATATATTTTTGAAATTTAATATTTTTATTAAAATAATTTGTCCTTTATTTATTTTAATCTTTTTTTATTTTTTTATACATTAAACCATTTTTATTTCATACCATGTACATATATTATAGTACCCCAGATTATATTTTTACTCATACTTAATATTACTTTTTTTCTTGAACTCTTTAAATCAATATCATTAGTATATATTTTTATTTCTTAATTTCATATATATTGTAAACTATTTATATCTTATTCCTTAATTTCAATTCCAATAATCCATGTACTAATATTTTTTCATTAATCTT